CAAGCTGCCCGAGCCAGCGCTACCGGCTCGGGCAGCCCCCCTTGCCTTTGGGGAAGGGGTTGGAATGGGGGCAGAGAAGGGGCGGAGTTGGGCGGGGGCGGGGACCCGTGGAGTGTCCTCTTTTTTCAATGTTAAAATATGGTAACCCTATATTACTGTCCACAAGTGTGTTGCCTCATGCCAATGGCGCCCCTTCCTCCTGGCTCATCTAACTACTGGCAGGGACACAACAGCTCCCATTTGCAGCACTACGCCACGGTCAGCTGGTCTTCCCTGTGCCATGCCCATGTGGCCTCAGCAGGGCATCATTTCCTCCACAGCGTGCTGGCTTCCCCACCCCTCACACCATCCCCATCATTATTTGTATTGCAGTGACAGGCCCTTCGACAGAAATTGGGGGCCCAAGGTACATCCTGTTCGCTGGGGCCCAACTCCTCTCATTTCACTGCAGTCACACAGACATTGGGGGAGGGGTTGAGGAACTCTGGGCCCCCCCCTCAGTAGCCCTGCATCTGGGAGCTTCCCCCTCCCCGCGACCCATTGCCACCCCACCCGCGGGCCCCCCTCCTCTCACCCTGACGTGCGGCCCCTCCGCATGCCGCGCCGCCAGCGCCTCCACCAGGTCGCCCCTGAGCTCCATCAGGAAGCGGAGCCCGCCCTCCAGCCGGCCCAGGTGCTGGAAGAGGCCCCGGTAGCGGGGGCTGAGGTAGTAACGGAGCCGGTCCTCGGCCTGGAGCAAGGCGCCCGGCTCCCTCTGCTGCTCCCGAGCCTGCAGCACCTTGGCGCTGAACTCGGCCACCTGTCCGTGGTCCACGCCGAAGTCCCGGGCCAGGCGGGCCAGCAGCTCCGCCCGCCGGGGCCCGGCCTCCAGGGCCCTGTAGGAGCGCATGAACTCCGCGCTGCGGAGCTCGGCCGGCGGCGGCGCCTTCTCCCTCGTCTCGTAGGGGGGCAGCGGGGGCACGGAGCGGCTCAGCAGCTCCTCCATGGCCAGGCTCGGAGCCGCTGGGCCCGAGCACAGGGAGGCGGCGGCGGCGCCTAGGCCCGCGCAGGGTCCCGTCCCTATGGAGACGCTGCTAGGCCGCCTCGGCAGGACCCAGGACCGACGGAGCAGGCGCGGCGCAACCAGAAAAGGGCCCAGCCGGCTCATGCTGGCCAACCCGCACCCGGCCGGGACCCCTCGGGCAGCGGCGCCAGGCTCCTCTCTACGCCGTAGCAGTGCCAGGCCGCAGCGTTTTCGGGGGGCACCCAAACAAAGAGGCTGATTGGGTAGCATTGCAGATTGCTGGCGGCGACCGCCAATCAGAGAGGGAGTGGGCGGGGCGTTAGAGTGCGGCCTTGTCTGCGTCTGGCGGCCATCTTGAGTGTGGCCTGGAAAGGTAAAGGAGCGGTGGGACACGGCTCTTCCTCCGGGGCGGGGAAGCACTGGCCGCGCCCCGCCTCTCTTCTCCCCTAGACTTGGCCCTCCGCACCCATTTTCGAGTCTCTCCCCCTCAGGGCTCTGCCCTGCCGCAGCAGGTTCTATCCGCCCCCCCCCCCCTTGTCTCCTTCCCCTGGAGACACCGCTTTTCCCCTTCCCCCGCTGTGTCCTTCTCCTCAAGTAGCATGGGCCACCAGCTCGTCCTCCTGCTTCCCCCTCCCGCACACACACCCCACTCATCCCTGTCACTCCCTTCTAGGGGGACATATGCAGGAGCCCCACCCCTCTCTGAGGCCCCGCCCCTGGCTCCTCCTCTTCCCCCGAGGCCCCGCCCCCTCGCCAAGCTACATGCCAGAGCCCCTTCGTGATAAGAGCTGCCAGGGAGGCCCAGCTGCTGTGGGGAGCTTTCCACTGGTCCTGCACAGAGGGTTGGGGGTGCTCAAGAGTAGCCCCTGGCCTATGTTCCCACTCTGTGGGGCATGCTGCCCTGGGCAGATGGAGGGTCTAGGACTCTGGGGCTCCCCACAGCGGCCCCAGGCTCCCTGGGCAGCTCTTACTACTTCCCAGCTCTGGCTTCTGGCCAACCAGGGGCAGGCCCTTGGGTGGAAGAGACTAGTGCCACCCCCGAGCCTCAGGCAGGCATGGAGTGGCACTGCAGGGAATCTAGGCAGTAGTGCAAGTAGGGCGGCACCCTCCAGTACGCAGTGCCAGCAAGAGATTTTTACTGGGTATGGGGTACTGGAAAGTCTTGGGGCTAGCCCCCCTCTCCAGAGATGGGGCTGCGCACTGCTTCTTTATATGGCTTTAACAGCACAATACATATGCTAACAAACTTAAACAAAGCCTTTGTTTAAGTTTGTTAGCATATGCATTGTGCTGTTAAGTTGGTCAGGAGTCCTCAAGAGGGGAGGGGTGGCGGGGACGGAAGGTGTTTAAACAGTGTTTTTGATTCTGTTTCTCCCCATTGGTCTGAATTATCCATGACATCCATACTGCATCACATCAAGTCCAAATCATTAGAGAAATGCCTCTGCTTGCACTGACCAGAGGATTCTGAAGTCAGCCCAGTTCTGCAGGCTGACAGGAATCAAGTGTTGTCCCCAGTGTACACAGAATTCTTCTTTGCAGCCAAACTAGTCTAATGTGCATTTTGTAAACTGGAGCAGCAAAACAAAGAAAACAAATGCCTCATTTTCCAGCTTTGCGGGTGAGAGAACTATAAGTGAAGATGATAATACTGGACACTGATGGCCGTAAACCAGCTGCCTCAGGAATCTGCAAAGAACTTTGCTGAAAATATGTTCCTCATCCTAGCAACAGAGCTAGGACTTATCACACATCTGCCCACCTTTATTCGAATGAAGCTCCTTCTGATCTGACAGCTCAGGCATTGTCAGTTTCATCCAGAACAATTTCAGTTTACAAACTTGGAGCCTAATCCTGTAAACCCTTAATCATTTGATCAATCCTATTGAAGACAATGGGACTACTTGCATGACTATGGACCACTTTTGTAGTAAGAGTTTCAGGAGTCTGTTCTGTTCCTATAAAGGAAGTTGAATCTCCCATTGAAATGCAATGTTTGGGTACAATACCATAATGCAGTTTAGGATACAGTTCTACTTAAAATTTGTCTTTTAATAAGTCATACATATGCTGAAATGGCTCCTCACCCAACTCCCATATTCTATATAAACAGACTGAAATACTACATATCTGGGGGGGAAGTGAGTAGTTAAGCATGTTGATGTTTGTATATACAAATACCCATTTCATCACTGTACTGGAAAACATAGCTGAATTTAATTTTCTATGGAATTTGAAGAAAGTTTAACAGCCCCAATTATTTTCTGTGTTAATCACTCAGTGTGTACCTGAAATAATTACATGCCTTCTAAGAGAAAAGAATCAGTCCACACTTGCTGGGAAAAAAAATGCCTTCCAACTGGTGTTCAGAAGAGTGCTACAAGACATACATAACCTCATGAGCAGAGGGCAGAGAGGCTACCCTCCCACATTATGACAAATAATAATAATAATCTCAAAGAGGCAGAGGTTCACAGATTTGCAAACCTAAAAACCTGTGTTATTCTTTAAACCACCTCAGCACATACCAGGTTTATAAACATTAAAAAGTTAACTGCAAAGGAACACTGAAGTCCATTGACCTTAATGTGTGCCAGCCAGTATGCCCTCACTGACGAAAGGAGCAGTCACACCTGAACAGCTAAAAATTAACCTTGCCCTTTTAGGCTAAATAGAGTCATGTCACTGGCCCCATCTCTGTTACATAACAGATAACAAAACTCCAGTGGGGCATGGTGATGGCACATAGGGTCTCAGGTACACGGTGTGATTTTTCAGAATTTCTTTTGGGAATAGTCATGTACGTGAAATAGCTGCTACTTATGATTATACTATTTCTATCCATGTATATTCATCTTGGTATCTGAAGTTATGAATATTAGCTATGTTTACTACATGTTTGCTTGCTCGTGTGGTAATGCCCACAAAGTATTTAGCCAGCACATGAAGGGACAAGTCAAGTTGAATGGCCCATTAAGGAACACTTAGCTCACAATGGACCCTGGAAAACGTCTGTCTACACTTAATGGACTTTTTTTTTAATTTTCTAACTAGAATATGAGTGGGGGTGATGGACATTAACTTGCTCATGTGACTCCAAACACCATCTTCACAGTGAGAACAGATTTCCCTTTACTTGGCACTTGGCAGAAGCTAAAAGGTCCTGGCCTTGAAACATCTCCATTTTGCCTCTTTCCTGCTCCGGCCTCTGGACTATGAACATATACTAATGGGAGCATTCTAACCAAGGGACTGAGGACTTTAAGGTAATCTGGAGCCTTCATATTTCCTTGATCCTTTGCAGATGGACTTATGAGCTGGATGGTACAGAGACTGTTCTAGCCTCATTGATTGCTGATTTCTCCCTTGCAATGGACAAAGATCAGACGTCTGATGACTTTCTCACATGAGTCAGCAGCCTTTGATACCTGTGGTATAAGCAACATAGCCCTTGCTTGAGTGTTTTTTTCTTTCCTCTCCAAATATCAAAGCCTGTTCCCATTGAACTCAATAGCAAAACTCCTTTTGATTTCAATGGGAACAGGATTTGGGCCCAAGAGATCAGAGAATGTGATTTTGATTAATTGCTTCTCTCTCCAGAGACAGTTCTCATGCACGTTCTGCCAGGCTGATTTTGAGTGCCACTCCTGTATGTCATGCTGAAGAAAATAATAAAACAATTTGGGCTGTAGTTCTATCAAGATGTAGATGGCACACACAGTTCTATGCTCTTTTCCATCAAACCCAGATGGCGCAGTAGCTTTGCTTTAGTTTGGACATAAGGGAGGCACTGATAGTGTGTTAAGGGAAAGTGGGGTGATTGTCCTTCCTATCCTTCTTTCATTTAAGAAGCTTTTAATTTGTGGTGCTGCTGGATCTTCAATGACACCTGGTAGTACAGGTGGCACCAGGGACCCAAAGCATCATTTTACAACTGCATCTGTTCAAAAGATGCAGTTGTAAAATTTTAGACAGGTAAGGGGGATGTCGGAGGGGACAGGGAGAATGTGGGGGCCTGGGGCTGGAAGGAGTCACATGGAGGGTCATGTGGGGAGGTCTTGTGTCCACCCCCCGTTTGTGTCCCTCCCATGAGTGAAGTACTGGCAAGAAATGATTTCTATTTGCACCACTGAATACTGCTGTCCCGGAGTCATTCAGCCTGGGACTTAAGAAATGTACATTTTGAGACTGTCCCGCCCAATTAGGGATGGATGGTCACCCTACTCCATTCCTTGCCACCAGACAACTCCTGCCGCATGCTCCCCGCCCAGCTACACTTCAGACTGTCTTCCATAGCCCCCATCCCATCCCGAGTTACCTTTTGTTCTAGTCCTGTACTGCTTAGGCAAGAACCTCAGGGTGTATCTACACTACAAGCGCTGCACAGCTACAGTGCTGCCGCTTCACCCCTGTAGTGCTGTGGTGTAGGCATTTGGAAGAAGTCTTTCCTTCGCTGTAGTAAATCTACTCCCTCAAGAGGCTGTAGCTAGGTTGACAGCCATCTGTGTCTGCCTTGGGGTTTAAATCAGGTTAAGTACATCTCACGGTGTGTGATTGTTTAACACCTCTGAGCGACATAGCTAGGTTGACCTGTTTTAGGTGCAGACCAAGTCTGAGACAAGAAATGGACCATACTGTACAAGTCAACAAACTTGGGTTCTGTCAGACTGGAGGGAGAACTGAATACCATTAGACAAGGTCTCGCCATCAAGAATAGCCTACCTCCACCACCCCTTACATTGGAATCTGAGGACTGTAAGTGCTTCAGCAGTATGTGAGCACAGAGGCCGTCTCACAGTTAGGTAGGTCCCAAGCCATATACATTGATTTCATCACGTATGAGAGGCCAGCTTCACAGATGCAGCTGCAGAATCAAGTTCTAAGAGCACAATCCTGTAAATTCTGCGTCTGTGGCACCTCCATTGAAATTGAAATACCCTATAACACAAACTATGTCCCTGAACCTGCAAACTCTTACAACTGGTGCATAATACCACTCATCTGTAATGAGTTCTGTAGGACTACTTGTGAGTAAAGTTAAGCATGTGCTTGTTGCTTGCAGTGTCTATGGGCCCAATTTTAATTCAGTATAAACTGGCTATTAATATAACTGGGAGCAGTATTGGGCCCCATAGATCAGATCCTGAGAGGCACTGAGTGTCCTTGACTCCCATGTACGTCACTGGAAGTTGAGGATGCTTGTCCTCATGCAAGATCAAGCCATCTATGCTAGTGAAAAGCACTACACAAGAGCAAACTATTGTCACATATATTATGAAATGTAATTAAAT